CGCGCGCGCGCGCGTGCGTATGCCTTTCACGCATGCGATCCGATTTGCACCACCACGGCGGTGAGGGCACCCGCCGCGCGCTGCTGCCAGCATGTCTGCCAGCGCAACGAGCGGAATCCGAGCACTTGCGAAATCGGCCGAGCTACACCGAGAGACCGAGACCCGACCGACAGACTTCGCTCCGACCGAGGCTCTTCAGACCGCGACGTGCGCCGCGGATTGACTCTCGCGCGGGCACCGAGACGAGGTCCCCGTAAAAAGCGTTAAACGCCGATTACGCAATGGCGTAATATAATAATGGATGGATATCATGCGCCTTGACGATGGAGATTCCGACGGATATAGAGTTTCTTGTTTCATCGGCGAGAGGCGGCTGTACTCGTAATTGACGTGTTTCGCGACGGGGATTGTTGTCGGGGCGATCCGTCGTCTCCCGGTTGACACGTGTCCGCCTCAATGAGCGATGACAAACTCCACGAGTAATGCGGTAGCGCTCCTTTACTCTCGATTCGCGGAATCGATTGATCATTCCTGGAAGATATGAATGACGAGCTGTATTGTATATACTCGGTCATCAGAAACGCAATTTCACATTATCTGTTACTAGTTGTATTTTACATAATGTCAATCATTGCGATGAAATTGCGAGAAGGCATTTGAGTTAATATTTTTGTTTTTTCATTCTCTTTACATTTGGATATGATCTTAATTTGCATTTTATCCGCATTATTTTTTATTCATGTTTATTATCGTTTTCAATCATCAATAAACACGGCACGGATCTTTTATGAGGAATCCAATTAAAATAGAAATATAAATGTATAAATAGATGTATTGTAATAAACGGATAAATTGTATAATATAAATAGAGATATTGAAGAATCGAAGCGAAAAATTTTTGGAATCTGAAGAAAACAATATTTATGAAGACTTAAATAGAAATTCGATATAAACTATTCAATTTATATTTGATACCATATGAAAGCCAGTAAATATACATCCTAGAATAGATAAAAAAAATGAATAACTAAAGTCACTTCTATCTATCTAGTGACGTAAAGATTTAAGTAGCAAAGTATAAAATTATGATATTAATTTACATATAATTATATATACATGTATAATGTATGTACATATGTATATATGTATATATACACATTAACTATAATAACAGTTGCAAAAAAATATTTATTGAATGAAGATTGAAGTATCAATAATATCGACAAGTGCAGAATTAATACTTCATGAACCAGTTAAGAATCCGGAAATTACATTTCAGGTAAACTTCATGAATATATAACCAAGCCTGCCAAAGTTGTTCAGGTCACATGGCAATACGTTTAAAAGTCAGTTAGATTCGCGGGGGATTACATTGCATCTGGATTGCACAAAGTTATACTTACTGGTCCTAATGGTAGCCTGTCGACATAGGTACGCCTCCGTCAAAGTCGTCGGCGTACACCTTCGAGAAAGATCGCGCGTCGCCCATTCCCACCGTTTCGACAAGCAATACAAAACGAGTCCACGAAGCAGAAAAGGGCCAATAAATTTGAAAAGTGGCTCAGATACGATGTTGTTAACATTATCATCTGAATATAACCAGGCAATAAGAAAAGGTAGAAGCATGTCATTTTCCCGCGTCAAACGCAAATATATTCGGCGAACGTGCGGACGTAGTCACTTTCGTGAATGCACTTTGTTGTATTTCCCCTTTGGCGTTAAAATAAACATCACGGCAAGAAGCGCCGTAAAAAAGGATCGAAGAGAAAGATCATGAACGAGGAGGAGACGATGGTGGCGGCGGCGTTGGAGGCGGTGGTGGCGGCGACGATGCGGTAGCGGAGGGAGAAAAAAGGATAAGAAGAAAATGGTGGAGGAGGAGGAGAAGGAGAAGAAGAAGACGAAGAGAAGAAGAAGAGAAAGAGAGAGAGAGAGAGAGAGAGAGA